AGTTATTTGTACAGTGCTGCCAATGCAAACGCACAGTGGCAAGTTCACGAATTTAATTGTCCAGTCTCGTAGTTCCTCCCATCTGTGTCACTCAGTAGACAGTCTGGGTTATCAGTTCAACTGTCTCGGTACCTCAGTACTTCTGTTCAAGTCACCCATATTTTACTTACTAATGGCTCCAAAGTCTAAGAGTAGTCATGTTGCCAATCAGGTACGCCAAGAAGCTATACAGTGCTGCCTTTAAGTGAAAAGTTCTCAACTTACGAGGAAAGAAAAAATACCATATGCTAAAATTGCTAAAACCTATAGTAAGAACTAATCTTCTATCTGAAAATTTATAAACGAAAGGGAAATTCCTTCTAGTTTTGCTTTTGAACTTCAAAATGCAAAAGTTACAGCCACAGTTGTGACAAGAGCTTACTTAAGATAGAAAAGGCATTAAATGTGGGGGTGGAAGACATGAAGAGAAACATGTCCCAACTGATGGCAATAGGGTTCATACCATCTGTGGTTTCAGCATCCACTGGGGTTCCAGGAATGCCTCCCCTGGGGGTAAAGGGGGACTTTAGTACTCACCTTAGTTTAACACTAAGGTGTTATGACCAATATGGTACCTGGATCCTCAAAGCTCAGCCCATCATTTCCTTTAAGTCTTGGCACAAATGCCAACTTTTCAAAAAGGTCCAAGGTGCCTACCCTCATTAAAACTGCCCTCCTCCTACACTCCCAATTAACTTAATCAGCCAATTTTCTTTATTCAGAGACTTTAGCCCCTTATAATGTATCATGCGGTATATAGAATCACGATGAGTGTGCCATTTGTTCCACACCCCCTTTCCTCCCGACACATACACACACACGAATACCTGAACAACAAAGACAGGATATTTATGTTTACTGATTTATCCCAAGAATCTAGGAGTCCCTGGCATATAGTCAGAAGCAAAAAGTTAACATATATTAGTTGAATGACTCAATAAATAAATGGCCATAGGTATAGACAGAGCTGGCCCTAAGTCCCCCCATTCAGCTTGTACACCCTGTATGACTTTGGAAAAATGGTAACCCCCTCTGGTCCTGTGTTTCCCTTGGGTATAATGAGACGTGTACAAGTATTTATCCCAAGGGATCCTCAAGGGATGAAGAGAGTCCTTGAATGTCAAGTGCTTAGAATCATGTCTGGAATGGCCATAGACAGCTTTCAATAAATATTAGCTGCCATCACCAGTATAATTTCAAGACAGCTTTCCCTGCAGTGGTGGTGATGGATTTGAGATGATTTATGCTCTCAGTTAACTGGCTCCCCTCATATCTGACAGCACCGATCTGCAATGGTGAAAGAAACTAGGCCCTTGGTGAAGAAACAGAGCTACCAAGGGTCACACCCCAGCCAGATGGTCTCTCATCAGCTCTCATTCCACAGTATCCATGGGTCTGCAAGGGAGCTGCAAACAGCATAAGAGCTACTGCCTCTGACCTGCTGAAGTAGAATAAACATAACATCGAAACCACTGAGTAAGTGATGGTGAGGCTTAGAAACCTTAAAAGGCAGAGAGAGCAGCTTCTCTCTTTCTACTTAAACTGAGATTTGTTTATTTGGTTTAACTGGAGTCAAAGCTAATGGTTCTAATGGCTTTAGATCAACCCAACTTATTCTTCAGATTTCTACACACGGACTGTAACTTACACTTTATGAAAGAAAAAAAAAACAGCCCTCCATAAAAGAATTCACCAGAACATACCAATCGTGTAGACATTCGCTTACCTTTCTAGAAAGCTAAGGGTCAGGAATGGTATGGTAACTTTTTCCAGGGGCAAAATCCAAGTCTATCTAAGGCAATAGGAAGTGGGCCTGCAAACTAGACCAAGCACTGAATACTCTCCAAGGACGGCAGAAAACACAACACTTTGGAAACCCCCATCATCATTTACACACACCTCTGCTGTAGGAAGAGAAGCAAAGATTTCAGGACTGATTGCATTAGGAGGAGAGGTAAGAACCTGAGAGGAAGATAGAGATGAGAGAGAGAAGAAAAGGGATGACAAAGGAGAGGGGGGTATTTCTGGAGTTTTTGGAAATAGTAGTCTTAATTTCTCTGTTAATTATGTCTGTCCAAGGTGAATCTTCTCTGTTAAGGGGTCTCTCAAGGCACTGTAAGAGCAAAATGAAATGACTGACTACACATTTCATAGATAATGACAAATAATGCCAAGAGGGAATTTCCTTCTTCACTTCAGAGGAGACCCCACAAGCTGAAAGTGGAATTAAATTTTCAGACTCCCAAATCAGTGCTCTGTACTTTGTACAACAAGTTCCTCAAACTTCAATTTGCATGTAATAAATGACTGAGTATTTCCTCCAGGAGAAAGCCAAGACCCTGAATTTCTGACATGCTCCCAGGTGATGCTGATATCACTAGTGCATGGATCACCCAGAATCAGAAACCTGAGTCCCACTGCACCTGCTGAGGTATAAGCCTTCTGAACATACGTGTGTGTGTGTATAAAAATAAATGTATTTTTTAATGAAAAGGTATTTTTTAAGAGCAGAAGAAACTGATATTACTGATGGAATACTAATGTTTAATAAGTTCTAATAATTCAACAATATTTGCAATATCCAAGGGGCATTTGCATAGCAGTATCAAGTGCCCAAGTAAAATATACTGAAGTTGCAGATTTTAAAGTACACACACACACACCAGTGTTTTATAGTTGAGCGATCTCTCACCCCATTTTATCACTATGCATTTATTGACAATATGCCTCTTGTGTTTGAAATATAACATACAGAATTTGCAATAAATCTGCAAAAAGTGTCTCAGTTCTCAATCTCTTGGTATAGAGATCCCACCTCTAGGGGTTGCCTCCACTTTCTTTGAAATTAGACATTTTAGATAAGAAAGATGGCACTGACACACTAGATTCCTAGAGGTTATTTTAACAGATTGTATCACAGAATATCACAATATAACAAAGTTGATCATCGCCAGTTAGATGTATCATAACCCTGCTAAAAAGGGGCCACAGGATAACCAGGGGGAAAAAAGAAAAAAGGTCAGGTTACTTCTGTTTCTCTTTTTTTCCTCACCTAGTGCAGAGGAATCTCAATGCCTTTGAAGAAAGTTGATGAAAACTGAACACACGGTGGACCTCCAGCCCGAATGCATAGTTACCTCCCAGAGCTTCCTATTGGTCCCCTTGAATCAGCTGAACACAAAAGGTTTTTCCTATAAAAAGTCCACAGTGTATCTAAACCTGATCCCAGTAAAATTTCACTTCAGCTGAAGTGAAAATGCAGAGGTAGCGTTTACGGATAACAGCTGGAGAACATTAGTTCCCTGTCTCTCCTTTTCTCTCCCAAGGGTTGAAAACTCTGCTGTTCAGACAGGAAGTCGTCATATACCACACACTGTAGGATACTAGCATGCCGGGATAGAGGAACAAGTTGTGGAGGATTAGAAGGACTGTGGAGGGGTTTGTTAGAGAAAGAACACATAGCAGTGATTCTGTGTACCTCTTGGGCTGTCCTTTTCCCTGACAGTATTCAGCCAGCATGGTGTATGGACACCCAGAATTGATGAGCAGGAACTACAATTATGTACTGAAAGCTTTTTAATAGCTCAGAGGCTTCGAGAAGCCTTAATCATTCACTTTTCCACACACATGTGTATAACACTAAGACATTTTGAGGTGTGGCCAAGATTCTCCAGTAATTTTCTTTTTGGCATCCTTCAACATTTGCTATCTAAAAAGACAATTTTAAACTTATTATCTAAAAAATTAAATAGCCAAAAAAAAAAAAAGAAGAAGAAGAAATACCTCTCACATCACTGCCAAGGATAAGAATGGTTATATGTATATATAAACATGTTCTGAAAAAGAATGATTTAAACAAAACGTCCTTGGGGATAGGTTTTTTTTTTAGGATCAGGTTTTGTTATAATTCCACAAAGCTGCTGAGAAACGAACACAGACACAAACGCAAGGAGAGACACCCACGTTCTGCAGCCACAGCTCAAAGTTTTGAACAAGACGATAAAAGTTTCCTTAACACCACATGCTCAATAGCTGTCCTGCATTCCTACCAGTCTGCAGGCACCGGCCCCTCCTTTGTAACCAACTGTCCTCTGGGGGCGGGCTGTAAAACTGACCCAGTCCCTTCCACTCCCCTCCAGCCAAGCTCACTAGATACAAACCTTCTTAACTTTTGAACTGCAGAAAAGGCCTTTGCCTTATGCATATCAGGGGCATGCTTTAATTGGGTTACAACGCTATGGTTTTATGCAAAGAAGGGGAGGAGGGACTAGAGAAAGGCCAACCCACACATCCATCATCCTTTTAGGAGTAGGTGGAGTTTAAAGTTCTCCCAACTTCCAAGTTCTCACTTGACAGGCAATATTTCTGTGCAATTTCCAGCCCCTTGTAACGGATGGTCCTTTGCCGGTCTCCAGCCCGGAGAGAGCAGAGACAAAGCCCCCGGCACCCCACGCCTCACGGGACCTATAGGCCGTTAGTTTCGTGAAGCTGTCAGAGCAGGAGCACTTAGCAAAGAATGGAAACTGAACTTCTCCTTCCAGAAGTTTTTCCTGCTACAGTAAAGTCCAGGGGGCTGGAGCACAAAGGCCTGGGAAATTTTCACTGTTATTTTTCAAAAAACGTCTTCCGCCATCTGCCAAACCATCATCTCCTAAACCCCAGAAGCCTAGGGAAGGGAAGTTGAGGCACACGTGTTCAGAAACACAGCGGAGATGCAACTTGAGCCGTCCCAAAGACAACCTGGAAAGTTGCTTAAAGATACCCCCACGGTGAGAAGGCCCCCCCAGGACGCCTGACCCACTCAGAAATCAGCCAGTGCCAAGGGGAAGGGGACCGCCCAGACAGGGTGCCAAACAGGGGCGCGTCAGGGCAGCGCGCGAGAACCTTCCTTCCCAGCCAGGAGGGCGAGGGGAGGGGAGGGGAACGTGATCCCCGAGTCTGAGGACCGGCGGCCCACTCACCCTCACTGCCGTACTGTTTGCCATTGTTCGCGCCCATCCTGTCGCCGTCATGCCCGCCGTCTCCCGGGACACTCCATAGCTGGGGCGCACCTCCTGCGCTCTTGGCCAGAGGAAAGCCAGCCCGACCGGACCGTTAGCTGCACATACCCCAGGTTCCGAGGCCGACCTCCGGCCTGGGGTGGCCTCTGGACTATGGTGAGAGGAGTGCGCTCCGTCCCCTCGTGGTACCCTCCGATTGCCTCAGGCGGGGCCAGGGACAGCAGCTGCTCTTAGAATCCGCGCTCGGGGCCGGCGGGCGTAGCGCCGCGCAGAGCCCCAGCTCCCGGGCGGCCCAGGGGCTCGCCGCGCCGTCGCCGCCGGGTCCCCATCCGCCCGCCCCGATCCCCTGCGGTGGGCGCTGAGCCGCTCGGGCGCCCGGACTCCTGGGCTCCGCTGCCTCCTTCAGGTGTCCCTGCACGCCGGCGGCTCCCCCGGGAGGGCGCGGCGGCCACTTGTTGCGGGTGCCCAGAGCGATCCCAGACTCGCTGCCCAGCGCTGCTCGCCCGCGGGCCGGACTTTTGTTAGCGCCAGGCGCCTCCTCTCGCCGCCCAGCGTCAATCACAGCTGGAGCCCCGGGGAGGAAGGCCGGCCCGGAGATGCGCGGCCTTTTAAAGGGGCAGCGCGCCTTTTCGGGGCTCCGGCTCCCGGCCCGGGCCTGGGCACCGGCTCTGCGCGCCACCCGCTAGCGGTTTGGAGCGAAGGAACGTGCTGCTGGCTCTGTTTTACTATTGTTCTTTTATAGGCTTGGCCCCAGTTTATGAGACGAACTTCCAGGCGTCGTTTGAAGTCCCTTGGGTTTATCTGCAAATGTATCGCCTATTTTAGGCGCGTGGGCATTTAAAATGAACCCTCGTCCGTGTCTGATTCTGGCACATTTCAGGTGTGTCTGTGAGATTCTCCCAGAGTGTCCGGTGTTTGCGGACTAAGGCGGAGAGTGGAGGAGAGAGGAAAGGAAAACTTGAAGCTAACTTAACAGGGAATCCGCCCCAGTAGAGGGAAGACAGTCCCCGCCCGGGTGAAGGAGGTTTCCTGGCTCACAACTTTTAGGAGGTTTAGAGCCAGGAAGTGTATTTTCTCCTCGTTTCTCTGATCCTTTTTTCTTGTGGTTGGCATTATCCTTTGTTTAATACATCACAACCTCTTTTGGAGATTTATATGGAACTTGTAGAGCCTTAAAACGGCCCTTTGGTGTTCTCTGCATTAAATAGAAAAAGGAAATTCTTCTACAACATTGCATCCTGGTAAAGACCAGGGCACTCACCACGCAGAGTTCTGTGGAAGGAGGCCATTATGCAGCCCGGTTTCTACGTACAGGTGTTGTCTGCTGCAAATTAAACCAAATACGTGTCCTGATGCATACAGTATCTAACCACACGGTACAGGAATCGAAAGCTTGGTGTTTTGTAATTAGATATTTCTTAAAAGGCTTGTGACCACATACAGAAACTATCAGCAATTTGCTTCCTATATATTATATTTCTGCAGTTTCCTTTAATTAGCTACAATTTGCTTTCAAAATTGAAAAATCAGATATCATGCATTAAAAGAAAAAATAATAACTCATATATTTTCAAGGATAGGATTAAATGGTTTTCTATTGTGCTGATAACATTTCCACTGTCCCAGTCCAAACGGATTAAAGATCGTATTCTAATTCACCTTTTCATATCTAGAATCAGGCACACTGGCTGATTCAAATGTCTGTTGAATTAAACTAAAAACCTGTGTCATGAGCCCTAAATCAGGTAAAGGTGTCAAACATTTAGAAGAGGAAAGAGGGTATCTGAGATTCTACCTGAATGTATAAACCCGTCTTAGACAGGAGCTGATGTCTAGTTTCCCTTCATGCAAAAGTAGGTTTCTGCTCACCTCATCTGTCTTAGTTCATTTTCTGATGTTTATTACAGAAAACCTGAAACTGGGTAATTTATAAAGGAAAAAACTTTTATTTCTTGCACTTTTGGAGGCTGAGGACTTTAAGTCCAAGTTGCTCCATCTGGTGAAAGCCTTCCCACTAGGAGAAGCTGAGCAGAGTATCAGGTGGTGGGGGGGGGGCGAGCATGCTGGCTCAAGTCTCTCCCCCTCTTCTTATAAAGGCACCATCCCCACTCTGATGATAACTCATTAATCCACTAGCCCCTTAAACCATTGATCCATGAATGGATTAATCCAATAATGAAGGCAAAGCCCTCATGACCCCATCACCTCCTAAGGGCCCCACCTCTCGATACTGCCAGGTTGGAAATTTAATTTCAACATGAGTTGTTGGAGGGACAAATATTCAAACTAACATGGTCCTTGTGATTTTCCACCACCCCTTAGGGGACTACCCTACATCTGATCATTTTGGAGGCTTAGTTGAAAATAAGCCAGCCGTAAAGTATTAGAACAAACAGAACTCATCTTGATGTTTGATGTATAATTGACAACTTGCCTTTTTATATGCTGTTATTTCCCTAATAGTTTCAGAACCTGTTTTGAGATCTACAAAGGAAGAAATTGCCAGGAGGAGAAACAGCAGCTGGACACTTTAAATGTCTAAAGTCGCCCAGGTGGGGAGTGCCTGATGGATCCGGTTTCCCAGGTTCTCTCCTCCCCAAGCCACTGCCTCTCTCGGCCTGGCCGTTATTCAACTTGGAGTAACTGTCCTCCCCTTTCACTGGGTCTCACTTTTGAGCCTTTAATATTAAAGTAACATTAAGTGAAAGTAAACCATAGTAAACCAATTATATAGCAACTAATTACATTGATCTTCTTTGAAATTAAAGTCTGTAAAGATACAAGGCTTGCTTGCCTGCCACAATTAGAAAAAGAAATAACATGCTTTATGACATTCCAATTTAAAACAAAATGGAAAAAAAAATACTTTTTAACATTGTTCTGATAATAGAAGTTGGTTAAGTACATATTGGCCTAATACCATAAAAGCTTAAACAAACAGAGAGTTAAGCAAAAAGAGAGAAAAACACTATATCCTGTAAAAATAAAGGCATATTCACATGTATATATTTTAATTTTTTAATTAAAATAATTGTACACAAATGATTTTAACTCCAAGTTCCAATCTTTTTACCCAGCTTCCAAATCTGACCCTTAACTATCCACATAGATTTTCAAGATCTTTGAGAAAAGGGTGGTGATCTTTTCACCAATGTGTCCTAAACATGTAAAACAACTCCTACACAAAGTAGCTGCTCAATAAGTACTGGAAGAAGAGATAAAATGACTTGAATGTTATGCCATGGTGCTCTGTGTCTGCCTTTTTAAAGGAGCCACAATCATTTTTTTAATAAGCAAAAATTCTAAGTCACCTAAAAACCAAATAAGAATGTAGAGAAAATAGGGCCAGGAGCAGTGGCTCACGCCTATAATTCTAGCACTCTGGGAGGCCAAGGTGGGTGGATTACTTGAGCTCAGGAGTTCAGACCAGCATGAGCAAGAGTAAGACCCTATCTCTAAAACTAGCCAGGCATTGTGGCAGGTGCCTGTAATCTCAGCTACTAGAGAAGCTGAAGCAAGAGGAATCACTTAGACCCAAGAGTTTGAGGTTCTGTGAGCTGTAATGCCACGGCACTTTTATCAAAGGTGACAGATTGAGACTCTGTCTCAAAAAAGAAGAAAAAGAATACACAGAAAATTTGTTATTTCTATCATCCTTTCCTTTGTGATCTAGTAGCATCAGGTCTTGTCCTTTGGGAAACTGTTTCATTCAAATTCCAACCATAGGCTTCTAGGAGCACTTGTCAATCCTGGTAGTGGTGATTAACTTTCTGGACAAGTAAGGACTCATGATCTGGGTGACTCAATGGGACACCCACCCTACATGGTCATAAGGACAAAAGCAAATGTCTCTGTGCCTCCCTGCCAGGGTGCCAGAAAAGCCAGGGTGGAAAGTCAGGAATTACAGTATCACTCAGGGTTAACAGTGCCACCCTTACTGCAGGATCATGGAGACCACATGTGAGGCCAGAATTGTCACAGTAGGTGCCCAGCTGTAAGGAGAATCCCCTTCCAGTGACAACAGAAGTCAGAGAACCCAAGGTTCTACCTCCTCCTGGCAGTTACAGTGTGCCCTCCCTCTTTTTCCTGCCACAGCAATGTCAGAAAAAGACAGTTAAAACAAAACCTTTAAATAAGATCCAGAGTCTCACGGCATAATCAATCAAAAATCCCTCTCATACCAAGAACCTGGAAGACTTCAAATTGAATAAAAATGATACAGCCAAAGATGCCAACCCCAGGACAACAAAGATGTCAGAAGTATCTGGCAAAGATTTTAAGGCAACCTTGAAAAAATAGGTGGAGTAATTGGACGAATACTCCTTGTATGAGTAAATTATAAACATGCTTATAATAAAAGTAAACGCAGAAAATCTCTGAAAAGAAATAGAAGGTACTGAGAAGAATCAAATGGGAATCTGAGAACTGAAAAATACAACTGAAATAAAATGCTCAGTAGACGGGCTGAACGGCAGAAAGAAGAGACAGAAGAAAGAACCGGTGAATTGGAGGATGGATCATTAGATGATCTCCAATCCAAAAAAGGAGAAAATAAACTGAAAAAGATGAAGCGAGCTCCAGGGACGTGTGGGACGACAATAAACAACTGAACATTTGTGTCCTCGAAGGAAATGAAAAGAGGGAAGAGTTAAAGACGGACTTGAAGAAATGTTGGCTAACAATTACCCAAATTCCTGAAATGACACGATTATAAATATGGAGAGGAGATTCGTACCGGCCAGCAGCTCAGGTGAGGGCTGCAGGGAAGTAGGTGTGCTTATAGAGCGGCAACTCGGGGTATCTTTGTGCTCAGGAAAATGCTCTGTATCTTGACTTTATCAATGCCAGTATCCCAGCAGTGATATTGTACTATAGTTTTGCAAGATATTACCATTGTGAGAACTGGGTAAAGGGGAAATAGGATTCCTCTGTATTATCTTTACCAAGTACATGTGAATCTATCATTATCTCCAAAGAAGATGTTTAATTTGAAAAAAGAAACTGTTTTCTCTCCATTACTCCTTTCCTACTATCATTGATTTGCAGCATCTCCTATTTTCTCTTTAAAAACATACATTCCCCTGGGAGAGCAAAGTCTAACAGAGAACTGATTTATTGTTAAGCCAATTTACATCTAGGTCTATTTGGCCTTGAATGATTTAGGCAGAGTAGTCAGCCTCAAATGGTACACACCCAAAACCTTGAACCTCGAGTTACCAAAATTAATGGATTCCATTGATGAAA